ATCTTGTTAGAGCTGATCATGGACGATGGAAGAAAGGTGATTAATTCATATACCTAGGATAATTCTGCATTTATGCCTGATTGGTGGATATAGATATGCCATATCCTTTCTGCAATAATTATTATTAGTGGTTATATGTTAAGGATATGTATTTTAAACTAAAGCTTTATTAAAAAGTGAACAAGGAGCGTACCGCCTTTGCGTGAAATTATACATTTTGTTAGATCATCCAGACGTATCAAACCGTATGGGAATAGTTAATAATTTGAACAAGTTTGATGCGGATTTCTTCGGATTATCTTTCGACCAAGCGCACACACTCGGACTTGAGACAAGAATGTTACTGGAACATTCTTATGAGGCAATTATCGACGCGGGGATTAATCCGAAGCAATTACGAGGAAAGAATACTGCCGTGATAATAGCGACAACTATTTCTGAAACGCAAGCTAAATTTTTGTATGAGGATCTTAAGGTAGAGAAAATTATTAATTGATAAGTGTAATAGAAAAGATTATTGAATTTATCATTTGTGTGCGAGATTTTGTAATCGTTAACTTTCTGCAATTAGATGGATGGTTTGAATCTTATTGGATGTAGCAGATCTACAATAGCAAACATGATTTCGTACCATTTGGATCTAAAGGGACCATCGTATGCAATCGATTCAGCTTGCAGCTCCTGTTTCTATGCCATGGCCCTTGGTTATCATTATATCATATCGGGCAAATGCGAAGATGCGATAATTGGGGCTACACAATTATGTCTATATTCAATTATAAACCTGCAGTTTGCTCGTCTTGGTACTTTTATTGAAACGAATTAATCTTGTAATATATTAAGCATAAAAAGTAATATGCCTCCTAATATTTTTCTTTCGAATCTGGCGCTATAGAAAATTTTGCGTTTCAATGAGTTGTTATTTGAAGTCTTTAGTTGCGAGTTATGTTGAGTGGTATTGTGATCATTTACGTGAGTGTGTCACACGAGCAGTTTGAACTGATGTGTGTTTCAGATGCGCGTAATAGACAAGGGTGGTGGTTGAATTTCTTATCGTGGAAGAAGTGAGTTCCAATGGTTGCGTTCAGCGGAGAAAGCAGCTTAATGCGCGCTCAATGATTCTTTATTATGATTGGTTTCTACACTTGGATCCAGAGAAGAACTGATGACAAGGTCCAATCATTTAAAAAAATTACTGATTGCTCACTAAATTGCTTTTTCTGCTGTACGCAGCCATCGAAATTTATTCGCGTCTCAGAAATGTTTATGATAACACCGTTTCTGAAATACGAATGGATTTCAATAAGATTTTACACCGACCTTGTCTGTCACGCGTATTTAAAATACACACCAGTTTGAACTATTCGTGTGACACACTAACATAAACTGATTACAACACTACTAAACATAATATAACTAAATACTTTAAATAACAACTCAGTAAAATGCAAAATTTTCTATGGTGCCAGATTTAAAAAAAAAAAATTAGGAAGCATTACTTTCGTATACCGATCCACATATGTGTGTATATATATATATATATATATATATATATATTGTATATTAGGGTGTCATTTTAGAGCAACTTTTTTTTTCATTTCACGAATAGCATATATACTTGCAGGAAGGTAAAATAACCCAGATAGCCAAGTCTGTCGAAAACAGATTTTGTAAAATCTTGCTACAAATGTCGTTGACAAGAAGGATACAAATTTAATACAAAATTTGATTTAACAAATAATGTCGACAAAATGCTAGCAAATATGTAACAAAATCTGCTGACATAATTAGATAGCAAATTGCCAACAAAATACGGGCAAATGTAGCCATGTAACCAGACAGCAAATTGGCAACAAAAACCGAGCAAAATTTGCGTTGAGCACTCTAACAATAAATTGGCGGCAAAAATCGAGCAAAATCTGTGTAGCTCTGCCTGACGACACTTTGGCGGCAATATACGGGCAAATATACTCATACTAGCTGCCCCGGCGAACTTCGTACCGCCT